CCATTGCATTCAATGAAGGTTGGTAAAACATTGCCAAAAGTTCACGAAGTTTTGGACCCTAATTTCACTGCTGAAAATTTCCAAAAACGCTCAAGACGTGAGAATATCAAAGGAGCGTTGGTGAAGCGCCTACGACGAAAGTAAGTTGAACAAATTATGAAGCATAATCAGGAATCTTCATTTAGCATTTCCCTCTTTATCTAAAACCCTACAAAATGAAAATGTTTTCAAGCTCGCATTTCCTTGTGTCATTAAGCACAACATTACTGCTTCGTTGCCAATTCCAAGCCGATTGAAAAGGAGGATTGGAGACCGTGGCGAAATCTCCGTAAAATATCGTCACCTGCCCTTCATGGTATTGAGGTAACCGAAATTTATACCAGCTCAGTCGTCGCCCGGGTTACCAAGCGTCGCACAGACTGCTGGGATACTGAGGGATACCAGAACCTGCTCTTGGACCTCTACCAGCCAGGAACGTAGCAGCACAATAACAGCTGACGAAGATCCACGGAACGACGATGAAGATACCTGTCAGCCATTGAGTCACTACCCATTCTGAACCGGGAACGCAGGTGGCGCGATGTCATTCTACAACGTCATAAATGGCTCCACCAGAACGACACTGCCATTTAGAGCTTAGAGGGAAAGAATAAGAGTTAGTTGATGATGTCATAAAGTACCAACTCGACATTGTTGGACTCTCGTCAACGAAACACGAGGGCTCTGGACTCGTGAACCTCAACAGATGGAGGCTATTCTATTCAGGCGTCGATATCAGGATGCGCGCTCAGGCCGGTCATGGTGTTCTGGTAGAACCCAACGTCGCAGATAGAATCATGGATTGCAAGACTGTCAGCGGAATGGTGGTAATCCTCCGACTGAAGCTACAACAGGCTAAAGCGTTGACCTTGGTACAGGTCTATGCGCCCAACTTGTAGGGAGAACATCAGACCTTCCTTGAGGAAGTGCAGTGTGCTCTGTCCGAAGAGCCGAATACAGAGTCCCTCATACTGATGGGCGATTTTAATGCGCACGTCGGAGTAAACGCTGAAAAGTGGAACGGCGTGATTGGAAAAAACGGCCTTAGCGACTTCAACGATAACGGCATGAAGTTGTTGCGGTTTTGTGCAAACAACGGATTGTCCATTATGAACACCTTCTTTGAGCATCGAAGAGTGCATCAGTACACCTAGTACCGGGAAGCTTGTGCACAGCAGTCGATGATCGATGTGATAATCGTATCATCTGACTTAACACGTTCTGTAATGGATGTTCGCGTTAAGAAAGGCGCAGAGCTATTAACCGATCAGCTAAGCTCTCGGTGTTCAAGTCGATCTTTATGCCTATGTTTACGTACGGTGATGAGTCGTGGACCATCACTGAAAAACTTCGAACCCGGGTACAAGCTGCTGAAATAGGCTTTCTTAGACGAGTCGCTGGCCTTACGCGTCTCGACATAGTCCGGAATAGTGACATCCGGAAGAGCCTTGGAATACAGCCTATGCTTCTCCAGATTGAGAAGTCACAGCTGCGATAGTTTGGATGTGTGTTGCGAATACCTCCTGAAAGAAAGGCCAAGTAACAGTTTCTTGCAAAACTGACCGGCAGAAGGCTAACGGGACGGCCAAGGTTAACGTGATAAAAATATATGAAAGGATTCTGTTCCAGACTCCAGTTGTCTTCTGCCGAAGCTCAGACTGTGGCACAGGATCGGGCACGTTGGCACGCGTCTGCCTCTATGACCCGAAAGAAGAAGCGGCCATGGAAGATGAAGAAGATTAAGCATAACATTGCGTTGGTGAAAACTATAATTTGACATGAATTTGTTTGCCAGAGGTTCGTTAACTATGCGTTTTACTGTAACTGATGTTCGGTTAAGAAATCTTCATTTGCACTTCCCTTCAGAGGACCATCGTGAAGTATACTGTAGATTAAGCCTAATTTTTTCTTTGCTAATGCGAGTTGTAATGCAATTCTGACGGCCGTTTTATTCTCCGTGCTTGACGACGCTATGACATGGCGAAAAGTCA